ATATGAGATGTGAACTGTAATCAAACTAAGTTCGCACCATTAGTAAATAAATTAAGAAAAGCAACGAAGAAACCTTTTCTACAGTAGCATCGACTGGGTCTTCTGCCATTTCTTTCTCGGAACAAGTGATTTCTTTGGCTTTAACTTCAACTCAGGCGACAACCTATGAGGGCGAAATTGGCAAGGTCGTCTGTCGGCGACAGATTTGAGTGGAAGATTCAAGAGATGAAGAGAAGTGGTCTCAGGTTTGGTCTTCTGGAAGAGTGTAATTACATGGGTAAGGGTTTACATTGAATTGGGCTACTGGGCAGTGGGCTGGGGATTGGGTTATTGGGTTAAGGTTTAATTAATATTAATTGGCCCAGAATTTTGGGAAGCCTAAAAAAACAAAAATTGCCCAGAATTTATTTTTTTTAACGGGTAATCGGTTCGATTCGGTACATCAAAGGTAAATACCATACCCGCCCCTAAATGAAGTGGTTCATTAAAATCAAAACCATAACCGCCTCATTGCACTATCGGTTCGATTTTTTTCGCCCCATTCGATTCGGTTAACCACGGTTTTCGGTTTTCACAGTTCGAATTGTCATCCCTAATGTGTTTGTTCGCAAGTGTAGGGAGATTAGAGAGGACACGAAACACTTTAGATCCTGCAATTGCGAAAGAAAAACATCATCTTTATCGTATATGTTTGATCCTCAAGTATATATGACAATAAAAATAACACAATCCAAGAAAACACTAATAAAAAAAAAAAAAGGACACATTGTGAAAATGGAGAAATGAATTCAACAAGAAGACAACAATTCACTGATGGGAAAAAAAGATGTCACCATTGTGTACCAATATACGGGTTCAAGAATAATATACAATATGTTGCAAGCATGACTAGTCAAAGAATGAGTGAAACATTCAATTTTTGTCAAAGACCCAATGGATCGCATATTCTATGGTATAACTGTATAAGAGATGAGAGTTTGTAGTATCCGCTCTTTCGTTTGCAATATTGGTATTCAACGGCTCTATTTCTTCTATGATTTGACAAATGAATATCTACTATGTGTTCTTTTGGCTTCATTTTGGAAGAAATAATGTATTTTGAAATAGTAGATTGATGAAAAATGTATAATTGAAAATTAAGGAACAATTTTGAGTTTCCGTGTAATATTATTTTATTAAAAAATGTATGGTTGAAAATGATTTTTTTTCAAAAATGAGGCTCAAACAAGCCCTTGAATGTTCTTGTGGATCTTGGGATGCAATGACGTTCGTTCAAAGGCTTTGAGAAGTATTAGTAAGTTAAAGCAAAGGCAAGAGATTGATTTATGAGTTCTTGATGGAATAGCAAGAAGGTTGAATAGTTAACATGAAACTGGAAAGGGAGAAAGATATCAACAAGATATGTTGACAAAAAATGGAAGTAGAGATATACGTCAAATGCATAGTTGGTAGATAGTATTGAACTGCGTTGGACAATACAATATTCAAGATTTTTAATATCTTTATCTTCCTTCCTGACGAGTGGGATACAAGCTACAAAGTGTATTAAGCAACGGTTCGACTCTTTTTATTTCAAAGCTCCTTATTTCTTCATACTTATTTTTAATCACACATTCACACAATAAATCATTACTTGACTCTCATTAAAATAAAAGTCTTTATTTCTCATATTTGTTTTCAATCATACATTTACACAATAAAATATTTTACAGGTAAATTCAAAACTTCTTCCTATTTTTTAATCATATATTCTTCAAAGAGTCATTATTCAAAAAATCATTTCCCCCAATTTATTTTTATAATGGTCGTCAAACAAGGGCTAAAATATTTTGTACGTAAACCCAACACTTTTTCTTACTTTTTTTAATCACGCGTTTTCTAAAAATTCACTATTCAAAACGTCATTTTCTCAGAATTTCTATAATTACTATCAATCAAACATGGACTAATGTGAAAGTGGAGAGTTTTTAAAGTTGAATGACAATTGAATATATTTCATAATGTTTACGGTTGGCCGGATATTATCGATAAAAAAAATAATTATCCAATGGATAAAACTACTTTGTTAGAATGATTTGATAGAAATCTTCACATAATTTTATGTGGCAGTAGATGATTGGATAAAAAACTAACTGTGTTTTAAACTGTTTAATGTAGAGTGCTACATGATATTATGTCAAATTTTACGTCAATCTCGATGATCATATAGTATGGTTGTTATTCGGTTTGGCTAGGACCTTACATAGAGCAATAACATTACCCATACAAAAACACTTTGGGTTCCCAGTGCAATTTACATAAATCACTGGTCTTTCTTCAAAATCTTGAGTCTATAGATAATATTCCTCATATATTTTATTTTTTTGCACCACCTTCTAATTGTATTTAAGATCTTAGTTTTGCTTATTATAGTATTTGCGTTCTTAATAATTTTTCATGACATTGTTAAATTCAAACTTTTCATTAGTTAGCATATTTTATATATATTTGATAACAATTTTATGTTGAAAAAAATTATTAAAATGACGTAAAATAACTTATTTTTTCATTATATTTTTAAAAAGAAAAAAAATAAAAAAATTCTCTCATTTCAAATTATGAATTTTTTTTTTTTAATATAAATCGAAAACGAGAAATGCTAATTAACAAAGGTCGAAGTCTAATTTGAAATCTATTCATTACACGTAACTGAAGTTCTCTCCGTTAACTCTGCTCCTCATTCGGTCAACTCTTCCGGCACCGATCTCTCTTCGCCGTCGACCTCCGGCCATCCCAAGGAGAATATCCCAGCTCCTCAATCGATT